AGTGGGAGCAACAACAATGGGCTTATAAAAAGATTTATCAAGAATATCACATGTTAGTCCCACATCACAAGACACAATCACTTGCTTCTTCTTGGCTTCCTCCTTCTTGACTTTCTCGAGGAGAGAGAAGTGAGCTCTTTCAAGCTTAGTGTGAGCATTGCCAAGCTCCTCATGGTCTTTCCTTAGACTCTTAAGAGAAGCATTGAGCTCATCAAATGATCGCTTGAGAGCTTTGAGCTCTTTCCGCAATTCTTTGCACTCCTTTCTCGCTCGATCCCCCACTTCATCATGGATCGCTCGCAACATGTTGACATCGACCTCAATGAGGCCTAGTCTCCCTTGCAGAGCGACACCCCACCAATGTAGGCGCCTTTTCCACCTCGGGAGTTCCTCCACCCGTCCAAGGCTCGCTCGCTGTTGCCACTGCCACCTAGCTAATTTTTAGTTGCTCACTATTTGCTTAGTGGATTCAAACAACCTCTATGAAATTTAAGATGGCTTAACTTAGGATAAAGATTAACAACATGTTTGGTTGCTTACCAAATCTTGCCATGACACACACCTTAGGCATGCTGCTGGTTTCTAAGCTCGTGTTTGGTTTCATGCCATAGCGGGTTGCCAAACTTTCATAGCTATGTGTCTCATACGTTATTGCCTCATTTCTTTAATTACTAAAGTATTTTAAAAAATGTGGCGACCAGTTTGAGCGCTACACTTTTTGTGACAGGCACACACTCATCTCCGTGATGTATCAGTTGTGTGTATAGTCATCATTGCCGAATAGTATCACCACACATGCCTCTCCATGAATTAGTGCATGGCTCACTTGCATTCGAAAACAGAGGTGTGTGGTACCAACGTACGGTTGAGCTTTTTGTGCATATAATATACACTTGAGTCATTGTTTGTGGCTCATACATTATTTGCAAAAGAGAATCAAGGCATGCATATCGATATATGGTACATACACAGATACACATCGAGAATTGAGTGTGTCTCATGCATTAAGTAAAAGAAACGAAAGGAATTGTGTATTTTTCTAAGTGGCACTACTAGTATTACCTTCGTACCATTGAAAACATTGCAATTCTAGGTTTATAGTCTACCGCCTTGTCACTATTACAGCAAGGTTTTTAGTGGGAGATAATTACTTTCTTGGCCCTAAAATGTTTCGCTTCCTTTCTTGGACCTTAATTTTAGTTTTGAAGTTACCTATTTGGCTTGAAATACAACTTTGCTATCTTATATGGCCCTTCCGTTAGATTTGGCCACTAACGGTGTTAAGCAGGCCGTGAATTGACCTTTTTATCCCTGGATGAGATAGGCAAGAGTGTAGAGTTCAATTTTGATATCTTTCATTTTGAGGACTGTTTAGACTATTTTTGAGGGCTATCTCAAAATGAAACATATTTAAACTGAACTCTACACTCTTGCCTACCTCGCCTTAGGGTAAAAAGGTCAATTCATGCCTCACTTAACACGTTAATGTCCAAATCTAACAGAAGGGCCATATAAGGAAGCATACTTATATATATTTTGGACCAAATAGATAACTTTAAAACTAAAAGGGCCTAGAAAGAAAGTAGTTTTAGACCAAGGAGGTAATTCTCTCTTTTAGTGGTGACCGCAAACCATTCGCAGAGGCAGCTACTTGCTCGTCCTCTACCTATGCGTCTCTACGAATCATCGATTTTTAGAGGCGAGTATCTAGCCTTGTCTAGAGATCGATTTCTAAAGGTGGACCGTAACCCAGCCTCCTGTAGAAATAGTTTTCTCAAATTATTAAATTAGGCAAAAAAATATTTTAATGGGGAGAGACCGGACAGACAACCCAGCCGCCTCTAGAAGGATTTTTATTTTAGCCCAAAAACAAATATTTTAAAAAGAGCTCATCCCAAACTAAATTTTTGGGAACTAGCTAAAAGTTATGGAGCGACTCATCACTATAGTGACTAACTAGCACTAGCACGTCAAGAGAACACTTTTCACATAAACTGTCGATATGGAATGCAATTGAGTCGCATCACCGCGGATGTCGTGACTGATCAGCTGAGACACGCCAAACTGAATGGTGTGACCCAGAAGTGTGCCACGCCAACACCTCCGACTTGACTTCCTTTGCTTACGTAGGTACCTTAGCCATTAGTTCATGTATGTACATGTTTTGATCCCATTCGGTTGAGATACGGGTTCTTCATCGGTTGCAAGAAAATTTATTGAATAGTAGGTACATCTTGATCGCCAAGCTTCATTTAGTCGCTTGCTTGCCCTTTAGGTCTGTGACGCACCATACTTGAGTTGGGCCTCACATTCAGGTGATGAGGTACCCCAAGTCCATATAACTGACACCTAGCTGAAAGGAGCTCGGCAGAGGGTGACGAGCACAACCCAGGATGGATCTCGGCGAGAGGGAGCTCGGGCAAGGATGAAACCAGTGGGGGAGCCAACCTAGCGAGAAAGAGAGGATTGCTAGTGAGGAGGTGAGCCCAGAGGTACCTCATCCCACCCAAGGGCATTGACAATGAAGCAGTTGTAGTGGGAGCACCTAGATGTGTCGGCAGTGAGAGCAACTAGTGCTGCAATTTGGGATGAGGAAGGAGGACGAGGTGCAGCAACAGCAGGAGCAAGCTAGGATCACCATGGGGATGGAGAAGGGCGAGGGGAAGCAGCAGCGGAAGGGGAGAGAGGAATTGAGGGAGCGGATGAAGCATCGGGGGGAGGGGAACCGGTGGCTAGGAACGGGAGAGGAGCATTGGGGCTAGGGTGACGCCGTGATGCACTATATATTTTCATGCTTTGGGTTTGGGCTGAAAAACTTCTATTGGGCTTCTTTTAGCCTGCTTTCTTGAGGCCTTACGGATATTGAGGATGGGGAGCTAGCGCGAATGGGCTGCGGTGGCACATCGTTCGGCATTGTAGCAGACAATGGCCATAGATGGTGAGGAGGCTAGCGTGATCGCCTGTAACGAACCTAGCCTCAACGACATACAACAAGGGGCGGGGGAGAGACGGACAGATAGAGGATCATTGGAATTGACCCGGGTGTGTCCAGGAGTGAGTGTTTTGATAGTCTGGGACCCGGATGACATAGGAAAATAGATCCGAGGACCATACTGAGACCCGATAAAACTGTAGTGAGACCCGAACATACATTGTTTAAGTATTTGAATGAAAGTTTTGCAAGTTTGGAGACCAAAATGACATAGCGGTACAAGTTTAAGGACCGGCAGTGCACTTTACTCTATGTTTAACTAGCAGAGGTAACCCATCCTTTTAAAAAACTATATATGTATCATTACATAAGAGACAGGAAGGGATAATTTTTATTGTATTTAAGAAGACCGTTGCATCATGGCTGGATCGGAGCGCGAGCAACAACAACAATATCAGAGGAGCATGCGGTAAAGCACCAGCATCGAAACCAGTAACATTCGCCGTGCACATTCTCGGAGCTTTCTTCTTGGCATATATTATCGCAATCGACATTGTTGTCAAGGCTCCAGCACAATCCGTGATAATTGCCGCTCAGGTGCTTCGTGTATGCAGGCATTGAACATACTAGAACATGCAAGAATGTGGTTAATTAGCCCAAAGATTAATCAAAACAACATATTAAGGTGCATACACTAGCCAATTCAACGCCAAAACTTAAGCTGTTAGGAGAGACAATTATATTTTCAACGGTTCATATATGTGCACTTACATACCGGCGGCCACGATGACAATTAGGAGCACGGCTACAGAGAGATTCTTTCCTGAATGCGCCATTGGTTGTTTTTTTTTCTTTCGTGGAAGTTTTTGTACGTTGAAGAAAAGAATGAGCGAGCAGGTTGATGGACGATCGAGTGAGGAGAAGTCCGACAATATATATATATATATATATATATATATATATATATATATATATATATATATATATATATATATATATATATATATATATATATATATATCACATGCCTAGTGTGTTCCACCGTAGAAGCATGAACATACGATCCTATATGCCTAGTGTGTTCCACCGGAAGCATGAACATACGATCCTATCCCCTAGTGTTTTCCAACAGAAGCTGGCCGGCCGGTCGCAAAGCTGGGCCTGCACTGGCCATGGTGCCAGGCGCTAGCTGGCTCGTCACCAACGCGCCAAAGGTTGAAGCTGGAGACAAATTTGAATGCCGGAGGAGGAGGCAGCGCCAAAAGCCCAGTAGTTCTACTACTGCCAGTGAACTGAAGCAACACTAGCAGGCCATAAGCGGCAAACAGGGGGCTGCAAGCGGACATCACAATCTGTAGATTGTTTGCTTGGGCCAGCAAGCGAAAAACACGTCTGAGTTACCCAGAACGTGCTTCTCCTCATACGATGGCAAATCGGCAAGTGCCAACACCTCCATCTTACCGTCTCCGATACATCCTGGCACGGTCCAAGAGTTCACTATGAGCTGTGTTTGTTGATGGACTCCGTAACCTCATCTACAACTTGTTTCGTATAGGTCCGCTTTTTTTGTACTATAATAATAATACCAAGAAAATACATCTACTAGGAGTATTTGGCGCGGGATGTTGGGCCGGAAGAATGAGCGAGCAGATTGGTGGACAATCGAGCGAGGAGAAGTCCGACAATATATATAAATCACATGCACAGTGTGTTCCACCGTCGAAGCATGAACATACGATCCTATCCTCTGGTGTTTTCCAACAGAAGCTGGGCCTTGTTGCCAGGCGCTACACGTGTTTGCTGATGTTTGCTAATGTGTTTGCTGATGGACTCAATATCATATATATAAATCACTCAAACACAGTTCATTATGAGCTATGTTTGCTGATGGACTCCGTAACCAACGCGCCAAAGGTTGCAGTTGGAGACAAATTTGAATGCCGGAGGAGGAGGAGGCAGCGCCAACATAATGAACAAAGAACGAACAAATCCTGAAGTAGTACAATACAATCTCTGTCGAAGGAGTATACGGCTGAGTGGTGGTAATTACCGTCGGTCGTCGGATCACTCACTCTCTGACCCTTGGGAACAGGCACCTGTACATCCTGGACATGAAGGACCTCTCGGCCTTCCTCTTCCCGTGTCGCCGCGCGCGTGGTGCAGCCGCCGCGTGGTCGGGCGACAGCAGCTTGGGCGGCGGCGCGGGGGCGGTCCTGCTGGCCTCCTCCCGGTGGCGCTTCACCTTCTCGAACTGCACCGTGAAGCCCTGCGCCGCCATCGCCGCGTTCTGCTCGTCCCACACGCCGAACCTCGGCACGGCCGACGGCTTGGGACGCCGCGGCAGCGGCGGCGGGGGCTGGTGATGGTGGCGCGGCGACGACGCCGAGGCGGACGCCGCCCTCGGCGCACCGTGACGGTGGTGGTGATTGTGATATTGGGCGCCGTGGCCGTGGCCGCTGCCGTGCGTCTGCGGCGGGAAGCTGCCGCCGTCGCTGTTACTGTTGCTGCTGGTGTACCTGGGCTGGTACGGCCTGGGCGGCGAGAACTTGCTGCCGCGGCTGCTGGCCTCGGATGCCGCGTTGCTGCCGTTGCTCCCGGTCCGGCGGTGGTACCCGTGCCCGGGGTGTGGGTGCGGCCGGTGGTGCGGCTGCGGCGCGGCGCGTGGACGAGGCCGTGGCCGTGCGAGCTCGGCGGGCGTGACGGCACGCTCCTTGCGCTGAGATTCTCGTAATGCTCGTAGGGGTCGAAGTCGTAACCAGCAGCAGGCGCGTGGCCGTGCGAGCTCGGCGGGCGGGAAGCCACGTTCCTGCTGCTGAGACTGTCGTAGTGCTCGTACGGGTCCAAGTCGTAGCCGGCACCGGCCACTACCGGCGCCGGCGCCGGCGCCCTGGCTGCGGCGGCGGGCTGGCCGTGGCCGTGCGAGCTCGGCGGGCGTGACGGCACCTTCCTGCTCAGGCTCTCGTAGTGCTCGTACGGGTCGAAGTCGTAGCCTCCGCCGCCGCCGGTGGCGGGCGCCGGTGGCGCAGCCGGCGGTGCCTTGTTGTCTCGCACCTTCTCGAAGAAGACGGTGTAGCCGACGTTCTCGGCGTCCCAGGAACCGAACTTGGGCACCACGGCGTGCCCGGCCTGCATTCAATCATGCACGAGTCTCAGTGAACAGTTGCTGCAAATTACGGTTAAGTAACACACAATCTTCGATGCCGTCGCAGTTTTTTAATCTACGAATTTAAATAAAAAAACAAAAAGTCTGGCTGCGTGAAAATGAAAGTTGTACTACGGAGTACGTGTTAACCAACTACTGATACTAGCAGCATTTGCCTTGAACACCAAGACAGGGTAGCCGCCCAACACCCGCATGCTTGGACAGCTACCTGCAGCTTAACACCGACGACGAAATCATACATGCGTGCGAGCAGTGGCACGTCAAAGAAACAGGTACAGCTAGTAGGATCAGTACTAATCAGTAGGTACCCGCGCGAAATCTGAATCGTGCATCCCTTAGCTGAGACTGAAAGCCTCGAAGGGAACTAAACTCATCCATCCGGACCGGATGCACGCACTCCACTCCACTCGTGTCAATGCAACCATCGTCGGTAACGATGGCAGACGGATCCATCGTGCCAAGTCGCCTTCCCGTGTGATCGAGGAGCCGCCGCCTCGACGTCTGGCGCGTACGTACTCCTCGTCGCTGCTCGCTGCTTTCCGTCCGTTTCCTGTGTGCTGGAGCTTGACCGCACTCCACCAACGGCAGCGGGCTTGGAGTGCCGGCACATGGGTGGGTGGCCCCGTGAGGACTACGCGAGCGGCGAGCCGTCCAATCCAATGCGAGCACGGGATCACACGCCATGTGCCGGCGGCGCCGCCTGGGAAAGTCAGGAGCGGCGCCCCCATGTTCAGATAGCGTCCAAGCCAAGTGATACGGATGAGTTCTAGAGCCATGCTCTTTACGCCTTGCTGAATAAAATGATCCTGGTGACTGCGCAGGTGAGCAGTGACCACCACCAAACCGATGCCCCGCGCTAATTCTAGAGTGTATGATTCTCTTGTCTCAAAAAAAGAATTCTGAATTGTGTGATGGCGCCGTCGCGGTTGGGGGAAGGTGGCGATCATCATTAACAACAACATGGGGGCACATGGGCAGGGTTCTGGGATGATGGAGCCATATATGATATGATCCCAATGTGATCATCATGCAGCGTAGCACACAGTACTCCTACGTATATCCTACTCCTACTAGCTTCGTTGTAGTAGTAATAAAAACACATTTACGACACGTATGAATAATGAATCTACAGCAGCGCAGCAGCCATGCATGGAGATGGAGTACTGCTAGTAATGAAACAGATGGCATTAAACACGCGTGATCGCCGATGCCAGCCGGAGCAACCGTCCAAGTGCATGCCAATGCCATCATTTTGGTGGATGCAGGGATAAGCAAACGGTGCCACCCAATCGAGGTGCGTAATCTATGGCCTATGGCAAATGTTACTTACAGCAGACATGTTGTCGTTGTTGCGTGCGCGCGCGCCTGGAGAAGGATTGACCGCCGGAGAGGACGACGACGACGGACCGACGGACGAGGCCGGCCGGGCCCTGCTGGTTGTTCGTTCCTGCACCACCTCCGGTCCTCCTCCTCCTGACCTCCTCTCCGTGCGCCGCTCCCCCTTTCCTCTCTGTCAAGAGGAAAGAGAGGAGAACGCACGCGGCGGGCGGGCCGGCCGGAGGAAGGAGAAGGCGGGGGTGGGACGACGATGGATGTCCAGGGCAGGGCAGCGGTCGGAGTCTGCCGAGGAGACGCCTTTATGGTTGGGTTTGGTTGCGTTGCGCAGCTGGGAGGGAGAGCTATCGACAACTGAGCAGCCCCCCTTAATTAGAGGCGCCCCAGCCGGCCAACCGGCCGCCGGAGCAGCCAGCCACGCACGGGCCCCAGCTAGCAGCAACCTTCGCAACTGCGGGTCTGCGGCGTTGCGGAACAGCGTGGCAGCGCGTCGCTGTATCTCTGTCTGTATGCGCGGATCGGAGAGACGACGCGGAAGGAGAGAGACAGCTCAGGGCCTTAACACCTCCTCGCCTGCCCTGCCTACCTACCTACCGAGGACAGGAAGCGAGGACCGAGGATGGACAGTGGTTGGCCGCTGCCCCGTCGTATCCTTGCTTTCAGTTGCTCTCTCGTGGTCGTGGCAGCTGGCCCTGGCCTTGCCCACCTCCGCCCTTGACCTCCCTGCTCCCTTCTTCACCTGGGATCTCTCGGTCCTGTTCGGATTTCAGCTTATAGGCTCGTATCCGGTTTATAATCTACGACTTAAATAATGTTTTTCTCTCACACCAAACTAGCTAGCAATATTTTCAACCGTGACTTATAAGTGAATTCAGCCGAAACGAACAGCCTACCTACGCTCATCACATATACTCGGGGGTCCGGTTTTCGTACATGCGGTGTGAACGTTGATCCAATAAGCAAGCGTCTGCGATCTTTCATTTCAAAATGGAATTCCGTACATCCCAACTCAACAAATCTGGTAACTTTCAGCCCAACTTATACCGCATCTTCCTGGAACACAAGTTGGCGGCAATCTCGATTTCTTGAGGCTCCCGGGTGTCAGAGTGTGATGGGTTGGAGAGCACGTACGCAGCACACAGCAAAACCATCGGATCAAGAACAGGGACGACTACCAGTAGATGTATTACTGACGTCCTTGTATAGCAAGCAACCACTTGCACGCTTCTTCGTGCCAAAATTTGATTTTGATTTAGTTAGTTCCAAAATTGAATTTTGACACTACATAGAAAAAAAGAAGCTAAAATAGTGTTCAATCATGGATTAATTAGGCTCAAAACGTTCGTCTGAATTTTTCACCAAATGTGCAATTAGTTTTTTTCATCTATATTTAATACTCCATACAGTTTGGTTGCAAACATTTAATATGACAGATATCAGAAGAACGAAGAATTTTGATCCAACTAAACAAGGGCTGAGCTAAACATGGCCTTATACCGTATCTTCCTGGAACACAAGTTGGCGGCAATCTCGATTTCTTGAGGCTCCCGGGTGTCAGAGTGTGATGGGTTGGAGAGCACGTACGCAGCCCACAGCAAAACCATCGGATCAAGAACAGGGACGACTACCAGTAGATGTGTTACTGGCGTCCTTGTATAGCAAGCAACCACTTGCACGCTTCTTCGGTTTCTGTCACCGCAAATTGCTAAATGCAGCGCGCATACAGACCCACCCAGATCCTTGTCAGCTGCAGAGCGAACAGGATCTGGGTGCGTCCGCATCCACCGCCGCGGACCATGGCACATGGGGCGGAGACGGGAGACGCTCTCGCTTGCCCTTGTTGCCTGCCCCTGCCCCCTGCATGTTGATCGGCAGACATCAGGCCGCAAGATCTGCCGCAGCTGAAACAAAGGAACAGAGAAATGGTTTAGCGATTTAGTCAGTCACCTAATCACCACCAGGTCATGGTCATCAATGATTGATAGCTCAAATAAAATGAAGCAAGGCTAATTGATTACTACCAGCTAGTGTCCACATAACCATGGGAAACAAGGTGCGGTGGTGCAGGCAAAATTTCCGGAATCTTTGGCAACTAGTAGCCTTTAGCGTCATAATAGCTAGTTTGGTCTGATATAGGAGTAAGTACTAATGATAATGATGCGGCATCATTCATCCACCACCATCTGCCATCAGTTCTTTTTCTATTTACTATTTCTGTTGTATATATAGCTAATAATAAGTAACAAATAGGAGTACTACAAACGCACTGCACATAATAAAGAAAGGGAAAACAGAAACAGAGCGCACTGTATCTGACAAACATAGATGGCCCAGCATAAGATGGTCACCAGGATGGCCATTAGCTCCCTGAAAATTCAGGCTACCGCAAACCACGGATAATAGATACCTTTGCAGTGCTGAATCGATAATAGAGTGTTTTTGCAGTGCTGAATCGTAACCCCATACAAGTGGACAACTAAGTTGTTGGGCCTACTGGAACAAGTGGCAAATCAAAATAATGCCCAAACAGATTTTGATGGGGAAAGGATCAAACTACATGTCAGAGAGTGGAACACACAAACACAAAGTATATTTGCGTTTGACAAAATCCTGAGCTAACAAGCAAAACTAGCTCATAATTGAAAAGGTAAAACAGAAACAAATAAAAATTACCAACAAACTATCTATATTATAAAAAATAACATATATTATGATGAAATCACAGGTCAAAGAAATAAACAAATTCAATAAGAGTAATGATTTGTAGGAAAGACAAATCTGGTCCGTTCATGAAAGCACAGCTAAGACCAGACATGGCAAAATAGATTTCATGACCATCTACATTGAACTTACAAATCACCGAGATAACCATCTGGATCAACAGTGGAAGCAAAACACCAACAGCGACATAAAAAAGGGTACGAGCCATTAAATTACTGTAAGACATGAGAAAAGAAATAAAATAAACGACTAGTGATTAGTCATTACAATATGATTGCATCATTATTCAGAAAAAGAAACTCAAGTTACTGAGATAACCATCTAGATCAACAGCAGAAGCAAGACACCAACACCATAAAAAAAACAGCATGTACCATTAAATTACCTTTAAGACATTATATTTTAACAAGAAAAGAAATAATATTAACGAGTAGTGATTAGTCACTAAAATACGACTGCATCATTATTCAGGAAAAATCAACTGCATAGTACAATTCTTATCAAAGTATTGAATACTTTTCAATAAATCAATAAATAATCATAACTTATCTTACAAAATTCTTCAGCCCTTCAATAGTAATGAGGTAATTTTTACATTGTCTTTGCACCTTCACTCTGGATATTAACAAGGAGAAACTGCTTTCAAGTGACAACATAGCCCCTTGTTTAAAAACTTGCCTCTGACAAACAAGTTCCATGGTATTCTTGCACCTACACTCTTTTCAACGATTGGCCCTCTGCCCCCAGCAAATCAGCAGAGGACACTGCAATTTACAGTCTGATCACATGAGGGCACCGTCATGGTGTGTTTAGGGCAGGGGCTCCAAAAGTCATTGTCAAGCAGTATGCTAGCAGAAGCTGCCAGAAAAAATGTCATATTAATAATTATTTAAGATTCTCAAAAGAAAAGAAAAAGTTTATCTTTAGTATATTATTTCAATGAGTAAAATATTCATAAATGGCACGAAAATTACACAAATAGAGAAAGAAAAAGATGATTCTAAGAAGAGATGCTAAACTTAAGAAAGTCCATTCTCCAAACAACCTGAACCTGGATGTACATAATTATAGTCTTAACCACCATCACTATCACTATCCAATAGAACATTTAAGGAAACAATGCCATATTCCCTTGCCTTCAATACAACTAGGCAGCCTTTGTCATATTATCATATGTTATTCTCACATTCCATATTTATTCTACACTTCACTCAACCCAGAGTCAGTGCAGCCATCAAGAAGCTGTAGTCATGTGCTGACAGCTAACAATATATACCCTTGGTACTGTTGGTCGAAGTGGAAATGGTTTGATTGAATGCATTCTAGGTTTATACTTACTCTTCATTGGTTCAATTCATCATGCTAAGGTCCACTGGCCGAATACTACCAGGATTACTGGGTCAACAATAGGACAGTTTTGCTTGCCATAGTGATAGCCAGAGCATGCCTTCTAGGAGACGCCTAAATCCAAATTTCACATAAACGAAGATACTACAGGGTTAATAATACTGCCTCTTATCCAAATTAGAGGCCACTTTTGCTTTGTCTAGACTCTAGAGTTAAACTTCTCTATCTTTGATCATTCTTAATCTTTTTAGAAAATATATATTATAAAATCTACAAGTTCAAATAAATGCACTATCAAGACATATTTCATGGATAATTTAATGAT